ACATAACATGGCAACACATACGACGAAAAACATGCCTACCCAGTTCATGTTGGCCTGGTTTATCGGATATTTCGATCGTCCACAGTTCTCTTTTCTCGACGCTTTGTCCGGGGCTATAAATACGAGTGATATCTGGGCATTTGGCTGCAGTGTCGTCCAAAACCTTCTTTAGTTCTTCGTGATTATGGTGTTGCCAAACGTAATCACTGTCGGGAAACGCATATTCTGGAAATTCGACGCTGGCAAATATCGGCAGAAAAGCCACTAATAAAATTAAAAGCCGCATGACGTAGATATATGTACCTTTCTTGCGAACGAGATATTTGTAAAAAACGGTAAATTGGAATTGTTTCGAAGATACAAATGGAAGAAGTCTTTTCCCTGCGAACAAAACACGTTAAACGCAGACTCAGGTGAAAGCAGAAAGACGGCAAAGATGGCCGCTTTTTGTCATTAATAGGGTGAAACCATTTTGGAATAGGGGTGGTAGCATCACAGCTTTTTATAACTCAATAATAATTTACATTTATTTTCACATTTTTTACTGTGTAACGTTAGTGTACAGTTATGTAATCTCAAACGTATTATTTATTCCGCCAACATTTGAATTGTTGACATTTACATTGCAAAGTCTAAGATGTGTTTACCTTCCACCAATGGACTCTTCTAAGCTTACAAATGTACCTTTTTCGGAGATTGACGTCACGAGTGTTTTTAACGAAAGATGAATAAATAATGTATACGTCATTCACTTTGAATGTTTCTTAAATCAATACTGAACCTACACTGACAGAATTTAAATATTCATAACAGAATTTAAATAAAAGCAATTACAATTTTGGCGACTTTACACTTAATTTTTATTTCATCCGTTAACAAGACGGGCATTGAACAGATAATATGGAAAGCCGGAGAAGAGATTTCCGACTTAAAACGTATTTACCCATCGTGCATCATCGCATCTATACTGTGAGCTCAAAATAGAATACTAATAATAAAATGTCGCATTACGTTGGATTGTTTTTACATGAATACCGTTCGCCCTAATTTCAGGTTCGTTGTCGACATACGATACGCTGTGGTAAATGATATTCTGATTTTCAAATACGTATGATCGTTATATCGCATGAGAAATATATGGTACTGAAACATATTTATCATGTATTTTCAGTTAACAACTGACGCTGGGGGTTACTGGAATCATGTCAATAATATGTTCAAAATCCCCCCCCCCCAAAAAGAAAACCTACTCATGAATAACCAGAATTTATTCATTTTCCAATAAATTATACTTCCGGGTAATGCAAGAACTTAATGGTTAATCGAGAAAATGGTAGCAGTATTATAATGCGTATAAGTTCCTATGACATATTATGCCAACAATATCTCAAATTGTACTGAGTCTGGTGGCATAGGCTGACAAAAATATATATTGTGAATGATGAGATACTTTTTGCTGTCCTCCATTATTTCAAAAATCTGGATTTTAAACAGTGTCAAAAATGCAATTTTTCTAAAATAGCAATTTTTGAATAATATTAGGACAAGTTTAGGACAATATAGCCTGTATTATTATTTCTTTATTCCGCACTATATGGCCACCGGCCTAAAGTAATGTTACATTTCAAAACTTAAATTGCACACGGTCGCTTTAAAATTACAAGATACATATACTTCAAATCATACTTACATTTCAGTTTCTCTGTAATGAAAACTCTTAAACAAATATTTACCGTGTATACAGATTAAATTCAACTTATAACATAGATGTTTAGAAATTGGGTTAACCTGGTGGTATTTAGGATTAATATTTCTTAAGTCGATTCAATTATTTTTTTATAAAAAGGAGCAAATATGATGACCACGTAAATATATCACTCTAAAGTCATGTGTTCAGTGTCAGAACACATATTAGAACACTTAATTGTAACACTTTTTGAACGCAGTGTATGTGTTCAGTAAGAAAAGTAGAACGCATGTGTTCAGATTTAGAACATATAGTGTCTTTATTTTTGAACGCATAACATATGTTTAAAAACATAAAAAAATAGAACACTGTTGATACATCTGCACACTGTAACACTTTTTGAACACAAAGTAAGTGTTCAGAGCAAGTAAAACAGAACACGTGTGTTCTGGAAACCAGACTATCGCCACACAATGGGCGTATAGCAAATTACAAGCACAAATTCAAAATTTATAATAGTTAAAAAACATCTTATCAACTCTTTCAACAGGTTGTGAAAGAGTTAATATAGTCAAACACAATTGTATAAAATTGTAGCTGGTGCATGCAGATGATCGTAAAAATTACCAACTTGCCACTGAATAATAAACCTAAAACTTATCAGACTGCAATCAAACAATCCTTCATCAAAATGCTGCTATAAAGTCATAAATTTGTTCAACCTGCACCGGAATATTAAAATTGATAAAATAGCTGGTAATTTAGCAACTTACAATAAAAAAGTGAATATTGTAAAATACTTTATTTTCACTGGAATTTATATTTGCAGAAAACAGATTTCAGGCATTATGTTGGGATCTAATTTTCACTGTGTAGTCACTATATTTAGGCGTTGTTTTTGTCATTTCTTGAAGCTAGGTGAGAATCAATATTTACAAAATAATCATTGCAGATCTCAGTTTAGCGCCCCCTACGTCGATTTTCAGCTTGACTTGGGTGCTTATTATGTCAAATAATCGATAATTCCATGTATTATTCGAATCGCTGTTCTTCGTGGTAGCTTTTTTTTCTCATTTTTAAGAACAGTTATAAGCACACTCCAGACCTATATTTTCCGTATTTATTAGTCTCTGTTTGGCCATATTTGGATGACAAAACCTTTTTACCTGTATGTAATTATGTTTGGTTTTAATAAATGTTTGGTTTGCTGACGTAATCCAAGAATTAAAAACTCGTTCAATATTATTTTTTTGTTACTAGAAACATGGCATGCATGTTACATATTTCATTGAATTTTGGAAAAAATATATTTATAAGAAATATTAACATCATCGCATATCATCAAATGGCAGACTCATTAAATCCTCATAAAATGTATCTAAATTGAAATTTCTATAGTCTCTACAAAAGACTTTTACTTGATGCCGAGTAGTTAGGGAGAAACTATTTTCAAATATAGCATATGTTGAAAAATGATCTGAAATGTCGGTAGTAATAACACCATATAGTCAATATTGGTGATAATCGTGCTCGTTTCACGAGTTGCCATATTGATGTGCTGTTGTAAAGACATACCCTGGAAACTTGGAACGAATTTGTTGGTTTAATAATCATTTTTGCACTATGAATATTAATAAGTTTAAAACTCTTTGAATAATAATACATGTGTAGTTACATCGGCGTAAAGGGGCATAAATACATGATGGCGATGGCAACACGATTATTCGCAAATTTAAGTTTATCTTATGTCACACAAGTTTATGTGTATGATTATTATAGTGACATTTTACATGACCCGATTGCAATAGCTTACAACTTCTGTGTTCAACTAAACATTGCCTATCTACGAGTCAGCGCTAGTGTGCGCATTACCATCGCCTTCCGTATGTACGCTTCTTATAAGAATTGCTGGTGTGAGCGCAAGATAACGAGATCAGGCTAAGTTGGTAACTTACTGGACGAAACGTACGTCGACGTTTTCAAGTGAGAACACAGTATAGGCGACTTTCGAATTCATTCAGATCAGTATAAGGTTTTCGATAAATTATGCCAATAAACAACGGAAATCTGGGACTATACAATTTTAACATGTTGTAATTTGTGGTCAATAATATGATAGTATAGCGAGGAATCTACGTACGCACCACTACTTACTCTCTCTGCCAATTGTTCTACAATTCGAGGGAGTATTCCGGAATTATAAATGAATCAAGATCACCTGCTGTCCAGAGACTTCGATTTCTTTAAATTGTCCACAGGCTATTAAAAGTTAAAACTAATAAAAATTGTTGAATATTTACATGAGAAATTGCACAGTAAATCATCTTAAGTGCTTTCTGAATTCATTTAACAACTTGAACTTGAACACATGTAATTATAAGTCTTATTTATCACGAAAGGATTCATTGTCACGAATAACGTTAAATAATTTAGACGAATAAAATACTATACCCTTTCAGGTATTTGGGTGACTAGGGGCTCCGGAGTAAAGTGTCTTGCCCAAATACGCAGCATCATGCTCTCCTTGATTTTGAACTGTGCACAACGATATCGGAGCGTCTTTTGAATCATCAATTGGCTTTTTTTTTGTGCTAAAAGTACCCACATTTTGGTAAAATTATGGTCGACAATTTTTAAATTGGTGTTCAGAAAGACCGGCAGAGCATCAGAAACAGGGGCCAAAGGCATGCGAGTGTCACATGGTAGGAACTAGGTACTAGGTTTGTTCGCCTGTTGAGGCTTTCTTTAAAAGTCACGTTAGAGCATGGGTACACACTCTTCAATTTGAGTGCCCCGGGTGAACCGGTGTAATGAAAAATTATGCCTGGAGAGGGAGCTCGTTATTTGTTTTATCTGCGTGTAACGTGGTCATACGCTAGACACGCAGTGAAATAATCAATACAAGTCAATAATGTTAATAAATAGTACCTCCATTATCGGATTTAAAAATCAAGAAAAAAAAAGAGAA